TCACAATCTGTTAGCATCATTCAGACCCCATCTCAAGCATTCTTTTTTGTAGTTTTATTAGAAAAATTATATATATACCTACTTTTCCATCTGTAATGTTCAAGGCGTTTCTTTCATATCTAATAATTTCTTTCATTGCTTTTCACAAAATGTTTGAGCATATCCTCCTATATAGCATCTAGTGTACATCGATCCAAAATCGTAAATTAGTGTTCAATCCCCTCTTCCTTTGTGCATTAAGCATTAATTATGGATACTCTAAATTCCAATAATTCATCAGAGTCATTTTTCAGAGCATCTAAATTTTTTTATTAAAGTTCCTACTGACTCATTAATAATGATCTGCCTCTTAATAACTTTACCAGAATCATTTTACCAATACTGGCAGCCTTGACAAAACAACTTTTTTTCTTGGAAGCACGTTAAGAATTTCATTGTCAACAGGTTGTTGAGCTATATCCTGCTTGGTCTTTGTGTCAATAATCGGTCTTGTTTTATTCTTTGAGAAACTTAGGCAGAATAGCTTTCATCACGATCATTGCAAATTGTTAACCTATACATGATCTCGGTCTCTGAACATTGGTGAGGAAAAAGTAATCAAATTCTCATTTTTTATGAAACGTTGTGGATCAAATTTAAGTAGACATCAAACAACTTTGGTGATGATCAAGACTAATTACAATGTTTGTACCTGCCTTAATATGAATTCCTGAAACTTCACAATTATTCAGAGATTTTCTAATGATAACTGGTTCCACAGACATTGTTTTCATAGATTCTCATAAGACAGCTTCCAAAAGTAAATCATCTAAAGAATCCATTAATTAGTTTATGATTTTTTTATTTTTAGTAAATAGTAGTATGGTATAATACGTGCTAACAGAAGCATTATCTGTGCCTGCAAGAACCATTTCAAGAATATATTGTTGTAGTTCTTCATTTGTCAAGTTATTGTTATGAAGTTGGTATTTTTTTTGCGAGTATTGAAATAATGTTTTGAATTGCTTCTCAAAGTTTCAAAACGGATTTTTGGTGATGAAAAAGATGTAAAGGAAACAAATACCATATAAAATGTGGTTTTAATAAAAAAAATTCCCAAGATTTAAAGTAGTTAAGAATGTAGTCAATTAAGTAATATCAAATCAAGTTGAATGATGAGAATGACTGCAAGAGAGATATGTTGAAATACATTTAAATAATCAATAATTTGTGTATTGCCTTTTAATACTGATTGATTTTTTGCTAGTTTTTTTCTGCTGCAATAGTAAAAGCTCTTTGTCTAGCATTTTGAAGTCTAACTAGCTTGAAATATATGTTTTTGAAGTATTTATTTCAAAGCATCGTTATTCCAAATACAGTAATAGTAGGTTTCATAATTATTTTGAAAAATAAGTGGAAGATTAAAAGATTCTACTTCTATTTTTAAAATTCAGACTCAGTGAATTAAATAGGCAAATACTTTAATAAAATTAGCTTTGTTTTGATAAATTTTTATTACTATCAATAAGTTTATTCATTAAAAAAATAGGATTTATTGATGATCAATTCATATCGACCAAAATATTGAATTGGGCCTAAAATTTGTATCCCAAATTTATAATTGATACTGATCGACATTGCAGATTAGCACCCCAAAAATTTTTATTTTTATTATTAAAAAAAAA